AACCCTGGTAAATATATATGCACCCAATACGGGAGCACCTCAATATATAAAAAAACTGCTGGAGGACATTAAGGGAGAGATTAATAGCAATACAATCTTAGTAGGAGATTTTAATACCCCACTGTCACCCTTTGACAAATCATCTAAACAAAAAATCAGCAAAGAAATATCAATCCTAAATGACTCGCTAGTCCAGAAGTTATTAATTGACATCTTCAGAACATTCCACCCCAAAGCCACAGAATATACATTTTCTCAAAAGCACATGGGACATTCTCAAAGATAGATCACATTTTGGGACATAGGCAAAGTCTCATCAAATTCAAGATGATAGAAATCATATCAAGCATCTTCTCAGATCATAATGGCAAAAAACTGGAAATTAACTACAATGAAAAAAATCCAAAGAAATCAAATACATGGAGACTAAACAGCATGCTATTAAACAAGGACTGGGTTACCAGAGAAATCAAGGAAGAAATTAAAAACATCCTGGAAACAAATGACAATGAAAACACAACAATCCAAAATCTAAGGGACACAGCAAAAGCAGTTTTGAGAGGGAAGTTCATATCTCTACAAGCCTATTGCAAAAAACAAGAAAAAATGGTAACAAATTATCTAACTATACAACTCAAAGATTTAGAAAAAGAGCAACAAGAAAAGCCCAGTGTAAGCAGAAGGAAGGAAATAACAAAAATCAGAGCACAGATAAACGACATAGAGATCAAAGAAACAATACATAAAATCAACAAAACCAAGAGCTGGTTCTTTGAAAGAATAAACAAGATAGATGAACCTCTAGCCAGGCTAACCAAGAAACAGAGAGAGAGGACCCAAATAAACAAAATCAGAAACGAAAGAGGTGAAATAACAACAGACCCCTCCGAAATACAAAGGATTGTTACAAAATACTACTAACAACTCTATTCCAAAAAACTGAACAACCTGGAGGAATTGGACATATTCCTAGAAAAATACAACCTTCCAAAACTCAATCAGGAAGAATCTAACAATCTCAATAGAGCAGTGACTTGGAAAGAAATTGAAACAGTCATCAAAAAGCTTCCAGCAAACAAAAGCCCAGGGCCAGATGGCTTCACAGGAGAGTTTTACCAAACATTCAAGGTAGAACTAAAACCTATCCTCCTCAGATTATTCCAAAAAATCCAAGAGGAAGGAACACTTCCAAACTCCTTCTATGAAGCCAGCATCACCCTAATACCAAAACCAGATAAAGACAACTCAATGAAAGAGAATTGCAGGCCAATATCCCTCATGCACATAGATGCCAAAATCCTCAACAAAATTCTAGCAAATCAGCTCCAACAGAGCATCACAAAGATCATACACCCTGACCAAGTAGGATTTATTCCAGGAATGTAAGGTTGGTATAATATCCACAAATCAATAAACGTGATACATCACATAAACAAATTGAAAGATAAAAATCATATAGTCATATCAATTGATGCAGAAAAAGCATTTGATAAAATCCAACACCCTTTTCTGATAAAAACTCTCAACAAGGTGGGAGTACAAGGATCATACCTCAACATAATAAAAGCTATATATATGATAAACCCACAGCCAACATCATATTCAATGGGCAAAAACTAAAACCATTCCCTTTAAGAACAGGAACAAGACAGGGATGCCCACTATCTCCACTCCTCTTTGACATAGTACTGGAAGTACTGACAATTGCAATTAGACAAGAAGAGGAAATAAAAGGCATCCAAATTGGAAAAGAAGAAGTAAAGTTATCCATATTTGCAGATGACATGATATTGTATATTAAAAACCCAAAAGACTCCATTAAAAAACTAATTGACTTAATAAATGAATCTTGCAATGTAGCAAAACAAAATTAACACCAAGAAATCTATGGCATTTCTATATACCAACAGCGAACTTATAGAAACAGAGACTAAAAGAGCAATTCCATTTACCATCGCACCAAAAAAATTAAGATACCTAGGAATAAACTTAACTAAGGACGTAAAGGACCTATATGCGGAAAACTACACAACACTGAAAAAAGAGATAGAGGAAGATGTAAACAGATGGAAGAACATACCATGTTCATGGATTGGTAGAATCAACATCAAAATGTCTATACTTCCCAAAGCAATTTATAGGTTCAATTCACTCCCATCAAAATACCAATGGCATATTTCACTGACCTAGAAAGAACTCTCCAAAAGTTCATTTGGAACAATAAAAGACCCCGAATAGCCACAGCAATCCTGAGAAAGAAGAGTAAAGAAGGAGGGATCTCAATACCACACTTCAAACTGTATTACAAAGCCACTGTTCTCAAAACAGCCTGGTACTGGCACAAAAACAGACATATAGAACAATGGAATCGAATCGAGAACCCAGATATCAACCCAAATCACTATGCTCAATTAATATTTGACAAAGGAGGCATGAACATACAATGGAGTCAAGACAGTCTCTTCAATAAAAGGTGTTGGGAAAATTGGACAGATACATGCAAAAGAATGAAACTAGATCACCAACTTACACCATACTCAAAAATAAACTCAAAATGGATACAGGACTTAAACATCAGACGGGAAACCATAAAAATACTAGAAGCATCCACAGGCAGCAAAATCTCAGATATATGCCAAAAGAACTTCTTCACTGATACTGCCCCTAGGGCAATGGAAGTTAAAGAGAAAATAAACAAACGGGACTACATCAAAATAAAAAGCTTTTTTACAGCAAAAGAAACCATCAACAAAACAACAAGAAAGCCCACTGTGAGGGAGAACATATTTGCAAATGTTACCACTGATAAAGGTTTAATCTCCAACATCTACAAACAACTTATACAACTAAATAAAAGGAAGATGAATGATCCAATTAAAAAATGGGCAATGGACCTAAATAGAATATTTCCAAAAGAAGACAGAAGGAAGGCCAAGAGACACATGAAAACATGCTCAAAGTCACTAATTATCCGAGAGATGCAAATCAAAACAACAATGCGGTACCATCTCACATCTGTCAGAATGGCCAACATCAACAAATCAACAAACGACAAGTGTTGGCGAGGTTGCGGAGAAAAAGGAACCCTCGTGCACTGCTGGTGGGAATGCAGACTGGTGCAACCACTGTGGAGAACAGTGTGGAGTTTCCTCAAAAAACTGAAAATGGAACTCCCATTTGCCCCAGTAATCCCACTCCTAGGAATATATCCCAAGAAACTAGAAACACCAATCAGAAAGGATATATGCACCCCTATGTTCATAGCAGCACAATCTACAATAGCTAGAATCTGGAAACAGCCTAGGTGCCCGTCAGCAGATGATTGGATCCAAAAACCATGATACATCTACACAATGGAATACTATGCTGCCATAAAAAAGAAGGAATTCTCATCATTTTCAGCAACCTGGATAGAACTAGAGAACATCATGCTGAGTGAAATAAGCCAGTCAATGAAAGAGAAATACCACATGGCCTCACTCATTTATGGATATTAAAGAACATTATAAACTGACAAACCAAAAGTCAGATATAAAGACAGTAAAGCAACAAGCAGACTGTAAAATTACAGCGGGGAGAGTAGGGAGATCTGGGGGAGATAAGAGATCAACCGAAGGACTTGTATACATGCATGTAAGTACAACCAATGGTCATAAAACTCTGGGGAGGGAGGGTATGTATGGGGGGGCAATGTTAAAATATGTACACAGATAATAATTTAATCAAAAAAATAAATAAAAATAAAATAAAATTTTGACATATTTCTGTTTCTGGTGATATTATAATTGTGAATTGCCTTCCTAGACTTTCCCATGTAATAAAATATGGCCCACACTATTAAAAAAAAATGCTTCCTCTTATTGATGTAGTTGTTCTCCTTCCCCTTTTCATAAATATCCTTGCCTTTGTCTCCTAACTGGAACAGTAATTGGACTTTTGCCTGAATCAGGGCATCCCAAATGGCTATTCTTTGATCTCAAATAAATGCTTACGGCCACTCATGTCAAAAAGCACCTTTTTATTATTAGCTTAACAGATAAAAGAAGGCAACAGGTTGATTCCCCTCCCCAGTACAGTAATAATTGTACATTGGTATTGCAGTGTTTATTTTAACCAAGAGTAAACAGTTCAACCTTTACCCAAAAGAGGTATATTTCATGTGGCAAATTTTTAATAAAAGTTTAACTACTTTATTAGGTATAACTATCAACATATAACCTTTAAAAAATACTGCTTCTGGCGCAGCTGGTGTGGCTCAGTGGTTAAGCGTTGACATTTGAACCAGGAGCTCACAACTCCATTCCTGATCAGGATACATAACAGGGGTTATGGGCTTGATCCCCAGTAGCAGATGTGTGGGATGCAGCCTATGGATCGTTGATGTTGCTATCTCTCTATCCCTTTCCTTTCCTCTCTCTCTAAAAACCAATTAAACACACACACACACACACACACACACACACACTCAAAAAACATACATTTTAAAATACTGCTTCTGTAGAGCAGGGCTTGGCAAACTTTCTATAAAGGTCTAGATAGTAAATATTTTAGAATTTGCCATATGGTTTCTGTTGCATTTCCTCAACCCTGCTCTTGTAGCAGAAAAGCAATCATAGATACATGTAAATGAATGTTCATGGCTATGTTCCAATAAAATCTTGTTTATGGACACTGAAATCTGAATCTCATAATTCTCATGTCTCACAAAATAGTATTCTTTTGAAATTTTCAACTGTTTAAAATATATAAATCATTCTTAGCTCTCAGGCCCTACAAGAACAGGCACGAGGCTGAATTTGGCCAGGGATGAATATGCCTACTCTTATTCAGTAATTAAACCACCCTTCACTCCTGGAAGATGACCATTACAAAACGGATTCATTATACTAGTCCTGTGCAGGAATACATGAAAACTGGGGAAAGACAAATTACTGAAGGGTGACCAAGATGTGAAGGAACCAAGTCCTCATTCAGGATGCCCCCTCGGCCCCACCCTGCTCATGCATGGCCACCTCATCTTGGCATCTACAGCCATCAGTGGCCAGGCCCTGTGCCCACAGTCCTGCCAAGAAGTTGCTAGCAGGGGGTATGTGCTCTGCCTCCACAAAAGAGGTTGGGAACAAGGGGCCAGCTCCTGTGGCTCACAGCCAGGTCCACTAGATGACTACTCTGGTGTTTCAATTCACCAACTTATTATTTTGGTGGGGGACAGAAAAAAGTTTCAATGTTTGAAACACCCATTGATAAGGGTTATTTTAATCACAAGAAACTGCGGGAGAGAAGATCGGGAAATCGTCACATAATTGGCAGCTCTTTAGAACTTAAACCAAGCTTATTAGACCATGCTTATATTTTTCTGTGATCAAATTCCTGCCACAAAACATTTGGAAGAACATTTTCTTTTTGGCCCAGTATGGGAAATTTTTGCTTTTACAGCAGTCAGTGGGGATGGAAGAAAAGAAATTTAGAATTACCGTTGCTTAACTACTGTTAAGCTGCATGCATCATTAGCTGAAGAAGCTAGCCTGCCTGTCAAGACCTCTCAAATCCCCAGGAGCTGAGATATAAAGTGCAACGTAAAAGGGTGTGCAAGTGGCCTTTACTTTTTAAAAGGACATTTCTACAAAGGCACAAGTAAATAACGGCAAGTTATTTGGACCAACTTCTCCCGAGTTAAAAAGACAGCCAAGGCCCCACCCGGTTTTCTCTGAGAAACGCCCCAACCGCCTCCCCCTCCCCGGTCCCACCGTGCACCCACAGTCCCAGTGCCTTCCTTAGGGGCTCTGTGGCGGGTGCTTCGTCCTTTCCTGAGATCGAGGGGTCTCCAACAAGCTGCAAAGGCTAAAACGCGACATCTCCAGTTAAAAACACATCCAAAGGTCTTACAGCCTTGCTCCATGGTCAGGAGCCTTTTTCTTGGCAAAAACTACTGGTCACTTTCCATTCTGACGCTGGTGTATTATAGATAGAATTCGAGAGGTCTGCTAGGAAGGCCAGCGCGATGGGAAAACCGGCCGGCAGCGCGGCTCGCTGTGCTGGGCCACAGGATCTGTCTGGGGGCGACTTCACCACTGAGCGGCTCCCTCCTTTCCCTCCGCACCGCCACACTCCAGGGGGACGACGTTCAGCCAAGTGTCCGGTCAAGTCCCCCAGCGCGGCTCCGTCCCACGGCCCCTCCGGGGCTGCGGCACCGCGGCCGGGCCGGTCAGGGGGAGTGCGGGGGCGCGTAGCGCAGCGTGTAGTTGGCGCCCGCGTTGTTGTCCCAGTACTCGCCCTGGGCGCAGCGGTAGCAGACCGCGAAGTGGACGGCCACGTCCGGCGCGTTGGTGTCCTCCCCGTCCCTGGGCTGCAGACCCGGGGGCAGGCACAGCGAGAAGTGGAAGCGCTCGGCGCCCGGCTCCTCCTCGGCGCCCCCGGGCTCAGGCTCCCCCGACGGCGTCTCCTGCCGCTGTAGCTCCGCGGGCTCGGGCTGCAGCTCCGCGGGCGCGTCCAGGAAGGAGCGCCATTCGGTGAACGTGTAGCGCACGGCCACGGCCCGCGGCCCGGGGCAGCCCAGCACCCGCCCGGAGCCCGTCACCTCCGCGGCCCCGGGCGCCGGGCAGTGCACGCGCTCCAGGCACACGCGCTGCCGCCGCAGGCGCTCGGCCGCGGCGCCCGGCCCGGGAAGCTCGAAGAGCGGACGGAGCCGGGGAGCCGGCGCCCCGAGCGGCGCGCCGGCCGCCGCCAGCAGGCCCGGCAGCTGCTGCAGGTCCTCGGCGCTCATGGGGAAGCTGTGCAGGCGGGAGAGCACGGCCGGCGGCACCCGCGGCTCCTCCGCCTCGCTGAAGTGCTTGACGCTGGCCAGGCTCAGCCCCAGCGCGTCCGCGAACTGAACCCGCTTCTTGCACTTGGCGCAGCAGCCGCCCCGGCTGTGCGGCGCGTCCTCGGGCCCCTCGCCGCCCTCCGCGCCCAGCCCCAGGCCGAGCTGCCGGCGCTGCTGCAGGAGCCTGGCCGCCTGCAGAATCGGGTCGGCGGGCAGCGAGAAGGAGCGCGCGCGGCGGCGGCGGCGGCACGCCAGCAGCTCCTCCTGCTCCCGGAGGGCAGCATCCTCCTCGGGGGACGAGGGCTCGGCGTCGGGGCTCCCTGACTCCGCTGCGCTGCCGCCGTCCCCGCCACCCTCCGGGCAGAGGACCCCGGCGGCGGGCAGCTCCGGGGCTGGTGGGGGTTCCCCACAGGGCGCGGGCCCCTGTGCCTCCAGAGTTAGCAGCTGCGCCCCCTGAGGCTCCATGAAGCAGCCGGCCCTCGGGACCTGTCTGGGGTGCGAACCCCCGACTCGAGACTCTTCTGGAGACTTAACAGCTTGGGTGGTTGACAGCGTGCGCCCGCCCGGGCTCAGGGAAGACGCGGTTCCACGTGGGAGCCTCGGGGTTTTAGCGGTGGCCGCCTGGGCGGAGTGGGTGGGAGGAGGATCGGCGGCCGCCCCGGGATTGAACCTGCAGGGGCCGGGGAGGGACACCTGGAGGCCGGGGCGCGGGCCGGGGCTCGCGGGCGGGGTTTCCGAATACACCGGCGGCCAGTGGGAGGCGGCCCTCTGAAGTCGGGGCCCGCTTCACCGCCTCCCACCCCAGCGGTGCCACCCGCGGCGGCCCTGCCCCCGGAGCTCCTGGGTGAACTAGCGCTCAGCTCCCGTGGACACTGGCGTGAGCAGCCTCCTCCGGCCCGCGGGTCTGGACCAGGGCGCCCCCCAAGGGCCGCAGATCGGCCGCGCTCCCGCCGGCTGGCGCTCAGGGGCCCCGGGAACCCGCGGGCAGGGTCGCAGTGAGGGCCACTCGCCGGCGAGGAGCCTGGGAGGTGGCCGGCCGCGGGCCAGAGCGCAGGGCGCCTCCCTCGTCCTCTTCCTTCCTTCCCAAAGCTCGGGGCGCCCCGGGCTCCAATCCCAGTCGGAAGCCTGAACCGTGCTCGCCTCCCCGCGCTTCCGAACGCCGCGCACCGAGGGCCGGGCAGAGCCTGGGGCGGGGACGGCGGAGGGGGCACCGGGCAGCGAGCCGAGAGTCGCCGGAGGCCATTCGCGCGGGGCCCGGGAGCACGTCCCGCCCCTCTCCTCCTCTCCCCTCCTCTCCTGTTCCCTCCCCTTCTCTCCCCTGCCCTCTCCTTCCTCCCAGGGTCCCGCCCGCCACCTCCTCCCGCCAGCGCGCACCGCCCCCGCCGCGGCCAGACCCGCGGCCACAGTCCCCGCGCCCGGTCCTCGCCGGCTCCGCAGCCGTGGGACCCTCCTCCGCGCTCTCTCCCGAAGAAATGTAGGACCAGGGAAATGGTGACTTGAAAGTGTTTTTTTTTTTGTTGTTGTTGTTTTTGCTGTGAAGGCTAACTTCATTTTGATCTAAGTCTGTGGTTCTCAAATTTTAGCCGGCACCAGCCTCACAGGGAGCGCGCGGGCCCACGCAGAGTTCTGATTGTTGATGGTGGTGATGGGGGATCTGACGTGTGTTTCCCAGCATTTAACCAGGGCAGGCCGAGGCCGCGGGCTCTGGAGACCGCATTTGGGAACTAGTAACTCCCGTGTGAGCCGAGTGCAGTTACTTTTTAAAACGTTGGAGATTCTAGAAACATAGATCCACTATTTCACACAAAAGCAAAGGCAAAGCCGTCCTACCCAAGTCATTTAATGCGGGCATAACTACAATACCTTACGTTCTGGCAGAATTTAAAGCGGCCAGGGCTTTAGGGATTTGGGGTATTTGGGTGTGGGGCAGGTAAAAGAGATGGTGAGGGTGAAGGTGAGGATCATGTAAGTAGCTAATATTGATTGAGCACCAGAGGATCAGCTGCTGAGGACTCCGCTCTTATTCCCAGGACAACCTGTAAAGTGGAGTCATATTACCGCTGCTCCGCACGTGGGACCTAAAGGTATAGAAAGACTTTTCCATTGCCTAGGGCGTCCGCGGGCAGGGTCGCAGTGAGGGCCCAGGTCTTAGAATCAGCTAGTGGTGGGTCTGAACCCAGGTAATTTAGAGGGAAGATGCCTCCCATGGCTACTAAGCCCGGGCTGGGGTGGTGCTCATGAGGAGGGGTCTCTACTGCTCACTTGCTAGTGTCCTGCAGATCCTCCCCTGCCCAGCGGAAAGCCGTGATTGCATCTCAGCTGGGGGCTTACAGAAAGTACCAGAAACACATGGTCTGTCTTCTGGGACAACTCCAAGATTTGAGAAAGAAAACATTGTTTTTACATTTAAGTAAACATTGATATGTTATGGAGTTAAACACAGAATTTGTAAGCTATTTTAAAGGTAAAATGGGACCTCCAAGGAATTTTGAGGTTGTGCTGACCCTCTGGGCTGCAGCCCTTATCAGGGTACCTGCTCATTCTGGGGCAGGGACAAGAGGGCCGTGTGGCATGTAGGGAGTGGATTTTAAGGGTCATGCAAGTCCTGGTCCCCTAGCCCTGTCCTATTTTCTTCTCTTTGATGAAAATATTAGAAGTATTCACCTTCATGGATCTCTCAATATACAGTGCTGGAGGAGACCGCCATTAAACAAAAAGTTACACAAGCAAATATGGACTCAGCCACTCTGGGAGATGCTAGAAGGCAGGACCTGACCTGGTGGGGAAGGCCAGGGAAGCCTCTGTGAGGGAGGTGAGTGGGAGTGAACAGCTTAGGACTGCAAGCAAGAACATTTCAGCCCCCATGCAGGCCTGTGTGGGAGGCAATGTGGAAGAGTGGGGATGGAGAAGGCCTGTGTGAAGCTGGCAGAGCTGCGGATGGAGGGTATGAAGAGCCGCTCAGGGCCTTGAAAAATGAGAAGCCATCAGAAGATTTTGCATCACTGGTGTGATTAACCAGATTTGAGATTTGAAAAGGTCATTAGGAAGAGGATGAAGAGCAGATTGCGGGTGATAGAAAAAGTGTGGGAGAAGCTGTCAGGAGACACTTGCAGTGAAGAAGGATTATCAAGCCTTGGTCCAGAGAGGTGGTGATGGTGGGGTGGAAAGGTTTGAGAGCTATTTAGGAGTGAAAACCAACATTACATGTTCATGGATCAAAATAGGGATAGGCGAGGGGGAGATAGGTGCCTTTTAGGATCTAGACATGAGCAGTTGGTGGAGATGGTAGAGGTCACTGGGGCAAGGACCACTGGAAGAGGAACAGAGGGCAGTGGGAGATTATGAATTCAGTTTTGAGCAGGTTGAACTTAATAGGTTCTCAGGTTTTTTCTGACCAGTTTGTCAACAACAACTTAGTGTCCAACAATTCAAATCTGACTAACTACCTGGAATTAAGGGGCTACAAGTATACCCGGACTTCAAATGCTAGCTGCAAATGGCATGCCCAGGCCACCATACTTTGGCTCAGCCAACTACAAATTTGGGGGTTCCCACAGTACTACACTCAGGTTTGATAATCTACCGGAATGGCTCACAGAACTCAAATGAAGGAGGTCAGAATAATGCTACCCCCAAATATGTTATTTTGGCATAAGAATTACGTATTTTGAGCTGATTGCAATTAAGAAACAACAGACAAAGAAGAAACATTCTGTCCTCCCACTTTTTGCCTATAAATCTGGCATAAATTTCCCTTTGTAAAGGTAACATAAGTTCCCATTTGCAAATGTGTCTCTATCTCTTTCTTTTTAAAAAAAAAAACAGTTGTAACTGACATATAACATTATATTAGTTTCAGGTGTACAACATAATAATTCAATATTTTTATATATTGTGAAATGGTCACCACAATTTAATTAACATTCATCACCATACATATTGCTTTTGTTGTGATAAGAACTTCTAAGATCTCTCTTAGTGGCTTTTTTTTTTTTTTTTAATCAGGAGAGAGCTTTCTTTTTAAAAAAAAAAAAATATATATGTTTCTATTGATTTTAAAGAGTATGGAAGAGCCCAGCCAGCATGGCTTAATGGTGAATGTAGACCCAAGAACCAAGAGATTACGGTTTGATTCCCAGTCAGGGCACATGCCTGGGTTGCAGGCTCAATTACAAGTGTGGTACAAGTGTGAGGCGTGCAGGAGGCAACTGATCAGTGATTCTCTCTCATCACTTATGTTCCTATCTATCTCTCCCTCTCCCTTCCTCTCTGGAATCAACAAAAGTATATTTTTAAAAAGTAAATAAAATAAAGAGTAAGGGAGATGTAGAGAGAGAGAAAAAAACAAACACATCAATCTGCTACCTTCTGCACACTCCCTACTGGGGATAGAGTCCGCAACCCAGCATGTGCCCTGATTGGAAATCGAACTGATCATGTCATGGTTCCTGGGCCACACTGTTGAACCACACCAGCCAGGCTACAATATAGTATTATTCACTTTAGTCATCATCTGTGTATTATACCCATGATCATTTGTTTTTTAACTGAGAATTTGTTCCTTTTGACCCCCTTCACCTATTTCACCCATTTCTCCCCCCAGATCTGACAGCCACCAATCTGTTCTCTATATCCCTGAGCTTGGATTTGTTGTGTTTATTTAGAGTCTTTATATAAGTGAGATCATATGGTATTTATCTTTCTCTGTCTGAGTTAATGCACTTAACATAATACCCTCAAGGTCTTTCCACATTGCCCATATAGTGAGGTTTTTTCCATTGTACATATGTACCATATAGTTTTCATCACTTCATCTATTGATGGACACTGAGGTTACTTCAACATCTTGGCTATTGTAAACAATGCTGTAATGAACATATGGATCCGTATATCTTTTTGAATTAGTGTTTTGGATTTCTTTGAATAAATACCCAGAAATGGAATTGCTAGGGCCTTTGTCTCTTGTTATAGTCTTTGTTTTAAAGTCTGTTTGTCTGATATAAGGATTGCTGCCCCAGCATTTTTAAAATTTCCATTTTCAGGAAATACCTTTTCCCATCTCTTTACTTCCAGTCTGTGTGTGTCTTTTGATCTGAAGTGAGTCTCTTATAGGCAGCATATTCATTCAGCCACCCTAGGTCTTTTGAGGGGAAATCGCTGAGTCAGATGGCAGTTCTATTTTTAACTTTTTAAGGAACCTTCATACTGTTTCAAAAGTGGCTGTACCAATTTATATTCCCACTAGCAGTGCACAAAGGTTCCTTTTCTTCCACTACTTTTTTTTTTTTTTTGTAATAGCCATTCTAACAGGTATGCAGCAATATCTCACTATAGTTTTGATTTGCGTTTCTCTAATAACAAGTGATGTTTAGCACCTTTTCGTGTACCTGTTGCCATCTATATGTCTTCTTTGGGAAAATGTCCATTTAGATCTTCTACCCAATTTTTAAAATATATATATTTTA